TTAACCAATCCAAAAAAAAAGGACAAAAGAAGTAAATAATGAAGTCACCTTCAAACTAAATAATGTTGATTGGCATGGTAAACATGACTTAATTTAATTAAATTAAAATTCAGAAGTTAGATATTAAGATTGCTACACCTGCTTGTTTCTTGGGTTCATTTGATTGGAAAATCTTTTCCCAACCCTTAACTCTGAGGTATCGTCTATCTTTGACGTTGAGATGAGTTTCTTGTATACAGCAGAAGGATGTATTCTGTCTTTGTATCATTCTGTTAGCCTGAGCCTTTTTATAGGTGAGTTAAGACCATTAATATTGATGGATATTAATGACCACTGATTGTTCATTCTTGTTTGTTTTGGATTTGGTGGTGGTGGTATTGTGTGTGGATTTCCACCCCTTTTTTCTTTTGGTTGTTGGTAAAGTGGGATTATCTATTGCCTATGATTTTCTGGTTGTAGTTAATATTCTTGGGTTGGAGTTTTCCTTCCAGAATTTTCTGTAGGACTGGATTAATGGATATATATTGTTTGTTCTGGTTTTGTCATAGAATATCTTGTTTTCTCCATATGTAGTGATTGAAAGTTTTGCTGGGTATAGTAGTCTGGTCTGGCATCTGTGGTCCCTTAGTATTGGTAGAATATCTGTCTAGGACCTTCTGGCTTTCAGAGTTTCCACAGAGAATTCAGGTGTAATTCTGATAGGTTTGCCTTTATATGTTACCTGACCTTTTTCCTTTGCTGCTCTTAATATTCTTTCTTTATTCTGTATGTTTGGGGTTTTGATTATTATGTGGCCAGGGGACTTTTTAAATGTGGTCTAGGCTACTTGGTGCTCTGTAAGTATCTTGTAATTTCATTGGCATGTCTTGCTTAAGGTTGAAAAGTTTTCACCTATGATTTTGTTGAATATGTTTCTGAACCTTTGAGGTAGGTTTCTTCACCTTCATCTATCCCTATTATTCTTAGGTATGGTCTTTTCATGGTGTTCCATATTTCCTGGATGTTTTGTGTTAGGGATTTGTTGAACTTAAGATTTTCTTTGGTCAATGAATCTATTTCTCCTAGTGTATCTTCAACACCTGAGTATCTCTCTTCTGTTGGTTATGTTCGCATCTGTAGTTCCTGATTGTTTACCCAGATTTTTATTTCCAGCATTCCCTCAGACTGTGTTTTTTTTTTTCTTGTCTCTATTTCAGCTTTCAAACCTAGCACTGTTGGAATTGTTTCAAGCAATTTTTGCTTTGTCTTTTTCTTCATTTCTTCTCCCCTCCACTCCCCTTCCCTCCCCTCGCTTAACCACTCCTCTCTTCCCTCTTCCCCAGCTCTCCTCTCTGTAGTGGGAAATAGCTTGGTATTGGCACAAAAATAGACAGGTAGACCAATGGAATCAAATTGAAAACCCTTATATTAACCCACACACTTATGAATACCTGATTTTTTACAAAGAAGCCAAAATTATACAATGGGAAAAAAAATAAAGCATCTTCAACAAATGGTGCTGGCATAACTGGATGCTGGCATGTAGAAGACTGCAGATAGATTCATGACTATTGTCATGCACAAAACTTATGGATCAACATAAATCTAGTCACATTGAACCTCTTAGAAGAGAAAGTGGGAGGTACTCATGAACAAATTGGTACAGGAGATCACTTCCTGAACATAATACCAGTAGCACAGACACTGAGATCAACCATTAATAAATGGGACCTCCTGAAACTGAGAAGCTTCTGTAAGGCAAAGGACACAGTCAACAAGACAAAAAGGCAGGCCACAGAATGGGAAAAGATATTCACTAACCCCACATCTGATACAGGGCTGATCTCCAAAATTTAAAAAGAACTCAAGAAACAAGTCTCCAGAACACCAAAGGATCCAATTAAAAAGTGGGGTACAGAACTAAATAGAGAATTCTCAATAGGGGAATCTAAAATGTCTAAAAGACACTTAAGAAAGTGCTGAACATCCTTAGCCACCAGGGAAATGCAAATCAAAACAACTTTGAGATACCATCTTGTTTCTGTCAGAATGGCTAAAATCAAAAACACCAATGACAGTTCATTCTGGAGAAGATGTGGAGAATTGGGAACACTCCTCCACTGCTGGTGGGAGTGCCAATTTGTACACTCACTATGGAAATCAGTATGGAGATTCTTCAGGAAAATGGGAATCAATCTACCACAAGACCCAGCAATTCCACTCTTAGGCATATACCCAAAATATGTACATTCATACAACAAGGACATCTGTTCAACTATGTTCATAGCAGCATTATTTGTAATAGCCAGAACATGGAAGTAACCTAGATGCCCCTCAACTGAAGAATGGATAAAGAAAATGTGGTACACTTATGCAATGGAGTACTACTCAGTGGAAAAAAAAAAACAATGGAATCTTGAAATTCATGGGCAAATGGACGGAACTAGAAGAAACCACTCTGAGTAAGGTAACCTAGTCACAAAAAAGACAAACATAGTATGTAATCACTCATATATGGATTGTAGACATAGAGCAAAGGAGTACCAACCTACAATCCACACCATCAGAGAAGCTAGGAAACAAGGAGGACCCTAAGAGGGACATATAAGGTCCCGCAGAGAAGAGGAGAGGGACAAGATATCCTGAGCTAATTGAGAGCACGGGGAGGGGGGGAGGGAGTTAGGAGAAAGAGAAGGGGAGAAGAAGAGGTGAGAGGAAGATATGAGGGAACAGGAAGATAGAGTCAGGGGAAGAATAGAGGAGAGCAAGAAAAGAGATACCTTAATAGAAGGAACCATTATAGGTTTAAAGAGAAATCTAGCACTAGGGAAATGTCCAGAGATCTTCAAGGATGACCCCAACTAACAATCTAAACAATAGTGGACAGGCTACCTTAAATGCCCTTCCCACATAAGGGATTGGTGACTACGTTATATACCATCCTAGAGCCTTCATCTAGTAGCTCTTGGAAGCAGAAGCAAACACCCACAGCTAGACACTGAGAAGAACTCCTGGAATCCAGTTGCAGAGAGGGAGGGGTGATGAGCAAAGGGTCAAGATCCGGCTGGAGAAACCCACAAAAGCAGCTGACCTGAACAAGGGAAAGCTCATGGACCCAGACTGATATCTGGGAAATCAGCACAGGACTGATCCAGACCCCCTGAATGTGGGTGTCAGTTAGGAGGCCTGGTCAATCTATGGGGCCTCTGGTAATGAATCAGTATTTATCCCAAGTATACGAATGGACTTTGGGAGCCCATTCCACATAGAGGGAAACTCTCTCAGCCTAGACACATGGAGGAGGGTCTAAGCCCTACTCCAAATGATATGACAGACTTTGAAGATTCCCCATTGAAGGCCTCACCCTCCCTGGGGAGCAAAAAGTGGATGTGCCAGGGGATGGGTGGGGGGCAGGGGAGGAGGGGAGGGAGAGGGAACTGGGATTGACATGTAAAAGAAGCTTGTTTATAATTTACATAAAAAAGATAAAGAAAAGTCAATTAGAATATTTTTAATTTTTCATCAGAAACTGGAAGACAAAAAGACAGTGAGTTTATCCCAAAAATATTTTAGTCATTTAGGGATAAAGACTACATTCATCTTATGTTGTTACTGTATCAAACTTTCAACTTCTAGCATAGACATAAACTATCTTGCTATTCAGGGGGTGCTGGTAAGGTTGTGATCCTTCTAAAGTTATTGTAAAAGAACCCATTTCTTACATTTTCAGCTCGCATGACCTTCCTGCCTTCTTTGGCTTATGGCATCTGTCTTTCATCTTCAAGGCTAGCACTGATGTGCTGAATCCTTTCACCTCAAAGGATGGCTGATGGAGTCTCCTGCCTCAGTCTCCCAACTTCAAAACAGTTGTGATTAAATTGTGCCATAAGGATGTTCAGGATAATGTTTCTACTCTATGTTCACTTGATGAGCAATTTAATTCCATCTGCAAAGTAAATTACCCTTTTCCTTGTTTAGAACATGGGTTGATGGCCCAAATGTATTGGAATACTAAATAAAGAAGTTTATGAATGAAGAAAATAAATGTTCAATAGATGTGCCTTATAAGAAACTGAATAATGTGTATTGTGCAATTAAGATTTTTCTGATCAGAAAATTTAACCTTACATATATGTTTCAATCTTAATATATTAGAAAAATGACTAAGTCAAACTAAATATATGAAAGACTAAAGCATATAAAGTTAGATAACAATGAAATAAAGAATTTATATGCAGGATAATTATTTTCATTTTAATTAAATTTATTGGTTTTTTAGACAGATATTATGTAGTCCTAGGTAGCCTCAAACTTGATATGTGGCTGAGTCTGGCCTTTTATTTCTGATTCTCCTATCTCCATGGCCTGATTGGTGGAATTACAAGAATGTGGCCCTGCCTCAGTAAAGAAGACATTTATAAAGTAAAATGTGGTTAACACCTAGTGTCCATCTACAAATGAATGTGTAAAGAAAATTGAATATAGTGGCATACAATGGAATGTTATTCAGCCATAGATATTGGTATGCTATTTACAACAACATGAATAACCTTTAAAACCTTATGCTAAGACAAATAAGCTAGGCACATAAGCAAATACTTATATTCTTATTTATGTGCAGAATCTAAGAAAGTCATAAAAGAAGCAAAGAATAGAGTAAGCATGGGGTAAGTATAGAAAAAATGAGAAGATGTTGGTAAGAGCATACAATATAAAGATATAAACAAAGATGAATACGTTCAAGAGATAGTGTGTTGTGGTGTCTATAGCTAACAATCCTGAATTGTTTGCTGGAATTTTAAGAAGAAACCAGATATATTAAATGTCTTTAACAACTCAAAGGATAATTTTTTTGGAGATGAAGGTGTTAATGAATTTGAGTTTGTTAATCTTTAAACAGCATGCTTCAAGCCATCATGGACAATCTTGAAGAATAAGGAAATTCAGAAAACAGTATATAGGAAAATATAGCAATTCTATTCATGCTTGGTCTGTTTTAACTTCTTGTTCTTATCTTGTAGGATGGTAGTGAACCACTTGCCCAGCTAGGCAAGAAATATAATATAAAGGATTCATTTTACAAATCTTCAACACAGAAGTAAGCTCTTTATCCAATGAAAAAATTTAAGTATATTTCTTAATGTTTAAGGGTGTATGTGTCAATAATGATCTGTATCATATCTTTATTAATATCTATTTAGATGCATTTTAATCCAGCAGTAAGTTGTTCAGTTTCCATGAATTTGTAAGCTTCCTGTTGTTTCTGTTGTTATTGATATCCAACTTAATCTCTGGTGGTCAGATAAGATGCAGGGTATTATTTCAATTTTTTTTAAATCTTTGGAGACTTACTTTGTGTCCCAGCATGTGGTAAATTCTGGAGAAAGTTTCATAAACTTTAAAAAAGTTTTTTGTTTGTGTGAAATGTTCTGTAATTATCTGTTAGGTGTTCTTTTTGGTTTATGGTATAATTTAGCTCCTGAAATTTGGTATCTAGTTTTTGTCTGGATAACCTGTTTCTTGGTGAGAGTAGGGTATTGAAGTCACAACTCTAACTGTGTGATGTTAGCTGTAGCATTTTTTCTTTTATGAGCATGGATGCAACTGTGTTTGGTGCTTAGATGCTTAGAATTGCAATAACCTCTGGTGGATTTGATGAGTATGACATGTCCATCTTTATCTCTTCTGATACATTTTGATTTGAACTCTTTTTTTAGGTAGTAAAATGGCTAAATATACTTACTTCTTGGATCCATTTTCTTGGAATACCTTTTTTCTATACTTTTACTCTGAGGTGCTGTCTACCCCTGGTGTTAAGGTTTATTTCTTGGATGCAGTAAAAGGATGGATCCTATCTTTGAATCCAATCAATTACTCTATTTTTATTGGCAATTGAGATCACTAATGTTGAGTGTTACCAATGAACTGTTGTCTGTAGATTCTCATTATTTTGTTGTTGTGGGTTGTTTTCTCCCTCGTTATTTGCTCTGAGATTATTTTTTCCTGTCTTTTCTTGGGTATGGTTGACCTCTTCAGGTTGAAATTTTTCTTCTAACACTTCTTTAGACCTGGATTTGTAGATAGAAACTGTTTAAATTTGGTTTTATTGTGAAATATCATGCTTTCTCCATCTATCGTGACTGAAAGTTTTTCTGGGTTTTGAAGTCTGGGCTGGTATCTTAGAATCTTCAAGCAGAAGTCCAGACCCTTCTGGGTTTTAGAGTCTCCCTTAAGAAGTCTGGTATTATTCTAATAGGTCTGCCTTTATATGCTATTTGATCTATTTCCCTTACTCCTTTTAATATTCTTTCTTTGTTCTGTATATTTAGTGTTTTGATTATTATGCACTGTGGCGACTTTATTTTCATGTTCAGTCTATTTAGTGTTCTGTGTATTCTTGTACCTTGGGGACCTCTTCTTCTTTAGGTTAGTGAATTTTTCTTTGATGATTTTGTTAAAAATATTTTCTATGCCTTTGATCTGGGTTTCTTCTTCTGCTATCCCCATAAATCATAATTTTGGTCATATTGTCCCAGGACACTAAGAATGTTTTGCCTGGATTTGTTTTTATATTTAACATTTTCATTGAGGGAGGTATCATTTTTTCTATCTTGTCTTCAATGCCTGAGATTCCCCCTTCCATACCTTGTATTCTATTGGTAAGGCTTGCCTCTGAGCTTCCTTTTTGAGTTCCTAAATTTTGATTTCTAATTTTACCTCAGTTTGGGTTTTCTTTTGAAAGTTCATTTCTAATTTTATGTTTTTAACTGTTTTATTCATTTCATTCCACTGCTTGTGTTTTCATATATTTTATTAATGGTTGTATCCATTCCCTCTTTAAGGACGTTGGTTATATTCCTAATAGCTATTTTGCAGTTCTTGTCTTCTGCCTCAGGCATATTGCATTTCTCAACACCTACTGTAGCAGTCTGGCTTGCCTCTTGTGGAAACATGTTGTGTTAGTAGCTGTCATTGTGTTTCTATGCTAGCATCTAGGCATCTGGGTTTGGGATGATTGTAATTCTAGATTTGATACAGGTCTTGTCTTTTGGGGACAGGTGTTTAATTTATTTGAATTGCCTTCTCTGGATCTAGGGAGTGTGGTGGTTGTTTGTTGCTGGGTAGTGAGTGCCTTTGATAATCTGCCAGGTGTGACCACTGGGGGTCCCAGACAGAATATATTTCTAGGTATTGGGACCTAAAAGGATGGAATGGGAATGACTTCTAGTGGGGAGATGCCTGAGAGGTTCCACATGGAGGAGAACAGTTGGGTCTGTTATAAAGATCTGCTTAGTACCCTGGGAATGGAGATAGAGAGGATGTAAAAGCCATGGCTGGTTGTCTGCTACAAAACTGGGGGATTGGAATTGGAGGGTAGGAGGGAGAATATAGATTGTCTGCCTGATAGATAACCTGCCCTCCAAAGTCAATTTTAAATGACACAATTTATTTGTAAAGTGGGTAGTCTTCCTACCCTGCTCTGAATATATGCTTTTGTATATTCTTTATTAAATATGTCCTCATTTGATAACTCCCCAGGGCTTTTGAAACTGTTCCTTGGGACAAAATGCTACGACCAAAACTTGACCCAGAGGAAACAACAGTGGAAAAGCCTACTGACTGCATCTCACAGTGTTTCACACTGAAAAGATATGAAAGAGTCCCAGCGATAACCCAGGTCAGTGAGCATTCCTGGCCATGGTGAGAGTCCCAGCCATAACTCGGCAATCGAGTGTTCTTGACGGTGATGAAAAAGTACCAGCCATACATAACCCAGGCCTGTGAGTGTCCCTGCCCATGGTGAAACAGTCCCAGCCATAACCCAGGCCAGTGAATGTTCAGCCATAACCCAAGCTCGTGAGCGTTCCTGGCCGTGGTTAAAGGATCCCAGCCATAACTCAGACCTGTGAGTGTTGCTGACCATGGTTAAAGGATCCCAGCCATAACCCAAGTCAGTGAGTGTTCCTGACCATGGCGCCTACTGTTTACTTTGAGTGCAAATCAACTCAAACTCAAGCCACGATGATATTTTATAGCTAAGAATTACATGTAAAATTAAAAGTTATACGATTTCAAGTCTTTGGAAATTGGAAACATTTTTCTCATTGTCTATACTGAAAATGTTTACTGCCTAATGACTTCTCCCTTAATTTGTGGTGGCTATTACTTTTAGAAATTACAGAAGAATGTTAAATAATGAAAGAGACACAGAGACATTATTCTTTCAGATAATCTATGGGGAGCACAGTTTTGCTCTCTTATGTTTCCAGTTATGTGATACAACAGAGCACAGAGAGCTTTTAGAGAAATGGACATCAGTTTCATCTCTGAATGTCAGAAAGAGTTTGTCGTGTGGACTATTGGTCATGAATCCCTCCCTATGCAGTTGGAGCACTTTCTCTAGAGCATAGATCTGGCCGTGTTATTACTCTGACCTGTAGCAATCATTGGCCTGTTCTGTGTTATCTTCCCTCTCTAGTGAACTCAGTGCCACTATGCTCCCTGTGGAGTCCTGCCTTTCACAGGGTCCCATCACTTTAATAACACTGCACCAGGATGGAGCCCAATCATTGGTGAAGCTCTGGCTTCTGTCATGCCGACACTGCCTCAGATGCCCTGTCCCATGCTCACAAATGCCTCCTGCTTCCTTGTCCCTTTGTGTTCCATCTGGGCCAGCTGTTGGATGATTTCTCATAATGGAGCTATTGAGCATAGAAAATCTGTAATATAAAGAGGGAAACCAATTATACCCTAAGGAGTCCCTAAGCCCCCAATTATGAATCCCACATTCTCATGTGAAATTTCTTCCACTTCCACAGAGAAAGAAATAATAAGAGAGAAAAACTCATAGTGTTAATACAAATACTCAAACATTGGATTTCTATGAAGTGAAAAATAAGGGGATAAAAATGTGTATGATTTCATTTATTTTTAAGGATCTCTAAATTACTCAAAGAAATTTTATATCTCAAAAAGTTGCACAGTTCATTTCACTACCCATGTTGAATGATTTGAGTATCTGAAGTCCTCTCTGGGTAAGGGGCTTTTCAGAACTCAGGCTCCGTGCAAACAGGTCAAGGGAAGCCTGCGGCGGGTCTCAGAGAGGAAGGATCTCTCATGAAACTGAAGCTAAACCTTTCTCACAGAGAAACTGGAGAAGGTGGCCTTGAGGAGACCCCAGCTTGTAGGAAACAAGGTGGGGTGGAAGTTTGAGCAAAGAACGGAGATCCACAGCACTCAGAAGCAAAGCCCCACCCCACCAAGAGTTGCCAGGATGCCTGGAAAGGGCTTTCCCAGAGTTAAGACTCGGTTGTGGTGTGGCAGATCTGCTGAGGACGCCAAGGCTTGAATCTACGCGATTACAATAAGATCATAAGTAACTTTTGCTTATTTCAATAATGGCTTTAGATTGTCGGAGGACTCTGGGACAGATTTCAGACAAGATTGTTCTCAGCACCAGTCAAGCCAATCAGTTTGTAAGTTTGCTTTTTTATTGTTACTGTTGCTAACTTTACCCTCATCGCTAAGGACCTGGGCCTCCACCCAGGGCAGGAGAAGGGCCTGACTTTTGATTAGGAGTGTCCTAGAGACCTGCATCCAATAGTCCTGGGACTGAGAAGAGAATCCAAATCCCATTCAGTTGCTCTACAGTTGGTCTCTCTTTACCCTCAAAATTAACACTACCAAATGTACTACATTTTTATAATGAGAGTACTGTGTAAACAAGCTGGTATGGACAGTTATAATGTTGTGATACTCCACGGGCTTCATATAGAGGGATTCTAGATGATGTCCAATCGACTTTCATATCATGCATTTGTGTTTTATTCATGATTAAAGCTATGTCTTTATTGCCAATGTTCTATGCACAATTCTGTACATTACTATGAAAAAAAAAACCTTAGTGGGCAGGTCTCCCAAAATGTCACTATTTTGTTTTTCTTTATAGCTGATACAACTCTGGTTATGGTCTCTACTTGTTTAACTCACTCAGAATATATGCTTAAAAATATGATATGTTCTGAGTAACTCCTCCCTCTATTGAGAAAAACATTACAGCACAATGGAAATACCAGAGCCTCTCCCGCAGTACCTCTGCTTACTTCCAGGGACATTACTATGGATTTGATGTTCCACATTTTCATGTATTCTTTTAATCTTCTAGCCTATTGTTTTCTTAATAAATGTATTTATTTACTTATTTATTTTACATCCCAACTACAGTTCACCCCCTCCTCTTCTCCCAATACCTACTCCTACCCCCCTCTATTCCCACTCCCAAATCCACTCTTCCTCCATTTCTGCTTAGGAAAGGGTAGGTCTCCCGTGAGTATCAACAAAGCATGGCATATCAAGTTGCAGTAAGACTAAGCACCTCCCAATAAATTAAAGCTGAGCAAGGCAACCAAGGAATAGAATCCCAAAAGCCTGTCAAAGAGTCAGAGACAGCCTCTGTTCCCATTGTTTGGAGTCCCACAAGAGGTCCAAGCTATACAGTTATATATGCAGAGTGCCTAGTCCCATGCAGGCTCCCTGGTTAATGGTTCAATCTCTGTGAGCCCCTATGAGCCCATGTTAATTGATTCTGTGGGTTTTCTTGTGGTGCTTTTGACCCCTCTGGCTCCTACACTCCTTTCTTCTCTTCTGCAAGACTCCTCAAATTCTACCAGTGTTTGGCTGTGGGTCTGCCTCTGTTTCCATCATTTTCTGTATTATGCCTCTCTACTGATAACTGAGCGAGGCACCAGTCTGGTCACAGGAGATGGCCAGTTCAGGCTACTTATCTACTATTGCTAGGAGTCTAAGATGGGGTCTTCCTTGTAGATTCCTTAGCCTGCTATTGCTAACCAACATACATACTAGTTTCCTGTTTTAAACTTTTGTAAAGGCACATGGTATCTTGCTTATGTTTATGCTACTTAACATTGTATCCATTGCTATCCTCAAAAGATTCATATCTAGGCTCCCTGACTCTCTGAGCTTTCTTTCTTTTTTTCTGTAGCTTAGAATTCCATTGAAAAGCTATACCACAGTTCATTCACCTATTCGCATTCTTTGTTTCCGATTTAATTTCAGTTGAAACAACATACATGTACTTTCACATACTCAACTGTAAAAATATTTCTGGATTTGATACATGTCAACTTATTTCAATACTGTCTTGATCAAGAAGGTATCCCTTCTTCTGATTATTTTCATATTCTTCTTCAAATGAGTTGAACTAAGGGAGTGTCCCACCAGCAGTGCTTAAGTTCCCATTACAACATATTGGGGACAATGTTAGAATTTTCCCAATTAAAATAATTTTCATTCTTATAAATATGAAGTTATACTTTATTAAAATTGCAGATTACACTTACCTAATGCATTTGCCACTGAATCTGATTCTATGCGTACATGTTGTTCCTGCAACCCACATGATGGAAGGAGAAAAATGACTTCCAAAAGTTGTCTTCTGACCATTACAAATATGCCAAAGCGTGTGTAACACTCCAACATGCCCACACACACACAGAATACATGAATAAGTAAATTTAATAAAAATAGAAAATTTCCTTTATTAACTGAACACATGGAAAGGTCTTTCTCACCATCCTTCTCAGGTGTAAGCCAAGGATCTGATTCATCACCATAACTAAGAAGTTACAGTTCTTTTGCACGAATAGTTTACTTAGTGTGCGGTGAGTCGCAACATGCGTTGGTAACAACTACACAGCCACAAGAGGCAATGTCATGAGACTGTGCTTTTCACAAACATTGTGACCAGTTATGTAGAACAGCATGTACAACCCCAGACAGTGATCACTACTTACTGTTATGGAGACGAATACCAAGTCTTCTGGAAGAAGATAGAAGAAATAGTCTCCCCAAGAGATAAGTCCCCAAGTTGGTTACCCAACACCAAGTGGTCAGCCCTGAAATCATGAACTTCTAAGTAGCACTAAACAAACTCAGTGTGTTGTATTTATGTATTTGTTGGGAGCGGGGGAGTAACAATAGCAAATAAAAAGAGGTCATGATCCCAAGAGAGAGCTGGAAAGATAACCTGAGAGGACTTGGAGGGGGAAAGTAGATTGGGAGAAATAATGTAATTATGTTTAAAGTACATTTTGCTAAGCCGTATCTAAAAACAATGTGCAAGACTTTAGAATTATTGTTAAACTGTTTTGTCAAACGTGTAATAACACCCTAATGTAGATTTTAGTACACACATTGAGGATAATTCTTATAAGATTGGAATATTTAAAAAAATAAGCTTTGTATTATCTACACAGCAAGGTAGAATTGTTGATAATACCCCTCAAGTACCTTTATAAGTAAAATACATTGTTGAATTTTTCTTTTTTTCTGTTTTGTTTCTGAGACATCTGACCTCTGCCTCATAATCCTCTCAATTCAGCCTTCAAGTGCTGGAATTATGGGTTTATGCCAAGGAGCTCAGCTTCACGCTAATCATTCATGGATGGGTGTCAATCAAATGCCTGGATGTTGATGAAAGCATGTTGCTTCCATCTTTTTGTGGTGGTTTTCATGGATTTGCTGCATTTTTAGGTGTTTTGTTTGACAGCTGAGACAGCACTTGAAAGCTCTGTTTCTAATTAATGCCACTCCTCCAAACTCGCCAGGGCATCTTTCAAGGTGGAACTTTGGGAAGTTGTTCCCAGGAGCTTACACATAAGCCTGTATATAAGTGCTCATAATGGTTTTACTCATAGCTTCTAAGATCTGAGTACAGCCAAGACACCCTTCAGTAGGGACGGATAGGAGGCATTCGAAAGTGTTACACAGCAAGCAGATGCTCTAAAACCACTCCATTGTTTCTGAAACAAAATTTTAGAGTTCCATTTCTGTATCTCTGAAGATCTTTAGAGACTTATTATAATAATTTGATGTTTACTTAAAACATCAATAACTCAATTGCCTATTTTTTCTTTTTTTAAGTGTGAGTCCAAGTTCTAGGAGTAAATACATTCCTCTCTATACGTAAGTGACATTTTTCATTGCTTCAAAATAAACCATATTTTAGTCTAAATTGTAGTTCCTTTCATCTTACTGTGCTTTCAGTCCATTCTTGAGTTAGCGTGGGTGTTTTACCACTCTCTGGGTGCTTCTGACATGTGTCTGTTTAGTACTGGAAGTTTAATCAAAAGTTCATTAGATATTTTGGCTAACTATAAAATGAGGAGTGACACGTTTTCTGTTTTCCTCAATAGGATGTTTTAGGAAATAAAATATCCCTGCTGCTCCTACTCAAGTTGTCAGTCAAAAATGACACGCAATTGGTAAAACTGTGCTCGTTAACCCTGAAGCACAGGAAGGACGAGCCTGTCCTCCTCTCCTGTAGCTCTGGCTCTGTGAGTGGTGGAAATATGCCGTTCATCTTCAGCCATCTTCTCCCCTTTCTGTTCTTACTTTGAAAGATCATCTGGAAATGAAGGAGATGAGGGGACATGGAGGAGGACCCAAGCTGTGGTCAGGGCTTCCTGCTCTTACTGCTCTCCAATAGAGCTGACTAGGGTTTTGCTCCCAAAAGCCCTTGGGACAATCACCCACTCGTGTGATCAGCCTTCCTCACAGCTCAGCAGTGTGGCCCAGGCTCCCGACACCTGCCTAGACTCTCCTCCCCACAGGAGTCTTACTGCCTCCAACAGATATCAACCCCCACGCCCTAGCCTCCACTCTGTGTCCTGTGGCTGCAGAAGCCCCAGCCCTGAACATGGAAATCCTGAACAGCTGCCACTCTCCCTGCTGCTCAAGTTTCCGATCCCAGAGTAGAGACCTCCCTCCCTCATAGTCTAAAGACAAGGAGCTGTTCCTTTCTTGTTTTTAATTCCAGTTGCCATTTGTCATTGTATTTTCTCTTCTTGGGCTTTTAATCTACTCTGACAAACAAAACATCCCTTTTTTGCTTTGCTCGACTAACCTAACTTTCCCACAACTTTCCTTTTCACCGTAACAGTGGTCATGTGCAGAGTACAAATGCTGATGATGTGGATAACCCATTTGGAAATATCGCATCTGTGGCCAAGCCTCGGCACTCCAAACTGCTCTATACAGACACAAGTCGGTAAGTGCCCTTCTCACTTACTCCCTAATCAACAAGGATGAAACTCGCTGGTGGAGTTACAAATGAAAGGGGAGTAATGACCTAGCTTGTTATTGACCAAAACTTATGAAGGAAAATGCAAGTTTCCTGAAAGAAATGATGACCTAGAAGATTACAGCTTGGGGACTCACCTGGGGTTTCTTGAGCAAGCTACTTTATCACTGTGACTTCCGTGTCTTCATCTGAAACCCATGTCACAACTCACCATCGGGGACGAGCAGCATTAGCAATAGGCTTGACCGATCAGCAGATCATCCGTCAGTCATTTAATTGTGTGGCCATAAATGCTGAGACCACCACTTTATAGAAATAGCTACAGAATGGCAGAAATCACCAGTACTTATTTATGTCCTAACCACAAACAAAAATTCATTGAACAACTTTTTAAATGAAATCAAGACAACGCAGTCATTTTAAAAAGCAAACATTCTAGGGCTGGAGAGACAGCTCAATGCTCATGAGCATGTTTTGCTCTTGGGGAGAACTCACGTTTAGTTCCCAGAACTGAGGTCACATACCCTCAGCCACTTGGCACTCCAGCTCCAGTGGATTCAACCCCCTCTTCTGACCTCCTCCAGCACCCACATGTGTGTGGTGCACAGACACACACATTCGTGTAGGAATAAAAATAAATCTTTTTTTTTTAACTCAAGGCAACTAACCACATTCTAAAGTTATACTAATTTGATATTTAAATGCTAAGAATGGTAGGATGAAACTACTGAAAGTCTGTCTTTCATAATTGAATCACAAAGTTTGTGTGAAAGCAGAAATCTCTCTCTGTACAGTAAGCCACTGCAATTCTTAGCACACGCGGTCTGGAAGCTGAGCCTGTATGTTTCAGTCAGTGTTAGTGTCACATAGCAGATAGCATGAGCAGTACAAAGTGCTCATGTTACGTGATTACAAGCAAGGCTTGTAATCTAAAATCATATATGAGGCAGTACATACCATGTTTGTCTTTTTGTGACTGGGTTACCTCACTCAGGATGGTTTCTCCTAGTGCCATCCATTTGCCTGCAAATTTCAGGATTCCATTTTTTTCCCTCTGAGTAGTACTCCATTGTGTAAATGTACCACATTTTCTCTATCCACTCTTCAGTTGAGGGGCATCTACGTTGCTTCCAGGTTCTGGCTGTTACAAATAATGCTGTTATGAACATAGTGGAGCAGATGTCCTTGTATGAATGTGCATCTTTTGGATATATGCCTAAGAGTGGAGTTGCTGGGTCTTGTGGTAGGGTGATTCCCATTTTCCTGAGGAATCTCGATACTGATTTCCATAGTGGGTGTACAAATTGGCACTCCCACCAGCAGTGAAGGAGTGTTCCCCTTTCACCAAACCTCTCCAGCATAAACTGTCATTGGTTGTTTTTGATTTTAGCCATTCTGACAGAAACAAGATGGTATCTCATAGTTGTTTTGATTTGCATTTCCCTGATGGCTAGGGATGTTGAACACCTCCTCAAGTGCCTCTCAGCCATTTTAGACTCCTTTATTTAGAATTTTCTATTTAGTTCTGTAGCCCACTTTTTAATTGGATCCTTTGGTGTTTTGGAGACTTGCTTCTTGAGTTCTTTGTAAATTTTTGAGATCAGCCCTCTGTCAGATGTGGGGTTAGTGAATATTGTATCCCATTCTGTAAGGTGCTTTTTGTCTTGCTGGCTGTGTCCTTTCCCTTCAGAAGCGTCTCAGTTTCAGGAGATCCCATGTATTAATTGTTGACCTCAGTGTCTGTGCTACTGGTGTTATGTTCAGGAAGCAATCTCCTGTACCAATTCGTTCCAGGGTACCTCCCACTTTCTCTTCTAAGAGGTTCAGTGTGGCTGGATTTATGTTGAGGTTTTTGATCCATTTAGACTTAAGTTTTGTGCATGGAGATAGGCATGGATCTATCCACATTCTTCTACATGCTAGCATCCAGTTATGCCAGCATCATTTGTTGAAGATGCTTTCTTTTTTCCACTGTATATTTTTAGCTGCATCCTCGAAGATCAGATGTTCATACATGTATGGGTTAGTATCAGGGTGTTCAATTTGATTCCATTGGTCTACCTGTCTATTTTTGTGTTGGAGAGTGCCAGCCTACAATCCCATGGCCAGAGAGTCTGGGAAACAGAACCTTCATTCAATGACTGATGGAAGCAGGGGCAGACTCCCACAGCTAAACACTGAGCTGAACTCAAGGAATCCAGTAACAGAGAGGGAGGACAGATGAGCAAAGGGGTTAAGACTGGGCTGGTTTAACCCCCTGAAACAGCTGACCTGACAAGGGTTATTTCTTGAATCCCAGACTGATGGCTGGGAATTCAGCATGGGACTGATCAAGACTTCCTGAATGTGGGTGTCAGTGAGGAGGCCTAGGCAATCTATGGGGCCTAGGGTAGTAGATCAGTATTTACCCCTGGCATACAAATGGACTTTGGGTGCCCATCCCACAATGAGAGATGCACTCTCACCCTGGACTCTTGGGGGAGGGTCTAGGCCCTGCCTGTATGAAATGACAGACTATGGACACCCCCATGGAGGGCCTCACCCTCCCTGGGGAAACGAGGGGTTATGGGGGGGAGTTGGAGGGAGGGCATGGGAGGAGGGGAGGGAAAGGGAGAGGGAGGACCTGGGATTGACATGTGAAGCAACCTTGTTTCTAATTTAAATTTAAATTTTAAAATAAATAAATAGAAAAAAAGGAAGAAAGGCAGCCTTGAAGTCAAATGGTGACGCACAGGTCACACTGTCAGAACCACCTGAGATTGATTACACGTTGATTGGGAATACATTTGGAGTTATTGTGCACCCAGAAACATTTTATCATTACTAAGTCCCCTTTATGACCCCCACACTCAACTATGTGACATATGGGTCAAGAGGCACACTCTAAGAAACATGGCTGTAGAATGAATACACCCAGTCAGCCCTTCTTTGATTTAATAAATTTATCCTAAGTTATTCTCACTTCACAACACACACTGTATGTGGGATTGGAACTGCTCCTGCTTGCAATCCCGGGGCCAATTCATGCTCCATGCTGCACCCTAGCAGCCCAACAGAGAATTGGGTCACATGGAGTCAACCAGAGGAAAGATTCACATTTAAAGTCGGGACACACTTTTTATTGAATCCCCACCACTTTTGCAGCATTATGGTGAAGTCGGAACATAAGTCAAAGTGCCAAACATCCCTCTCCATTAGATATTATAAAGTATTTTATCATCATCTTAGTTTCTTTTCTAGTACTGCAATAGGAGCACAGTGACCGAGGCAGTCATAGAAGGAAGGGCTTGCTTGGGCTATGGTTCAGATAAGTAGGGATCTGTCGCGGGCCAGCAGCTGAAGCAGCAAGCTGAGTTCACAAGAAAAGGAAACAGAAAAAGCACTAGAGATGGTACAGGGCTTTGAAACCTCAAAGCCTGGCTTCAGTGATGTACTTACTGTAGAAAGGCCATACCCCCTGGACTGCGCAGAGTGCCACTGACTGGGGACCAAGTATTAAAATGCCCTAGACTATGGGGGACATCTTCTTCAAACCACGACAGTTGTTACTGTCTGCCATAAAGTAGGCAACATATACACACATGCTCAGAGCAGCCACGTTCAGTTGTCTTTGGTATAGGGGCAGGGGATTTGGTTCCAAAGACCTGCAGATGTTAAAACTCAAGGATGTCAAAAACATATATACATGGTTTAATAATTACTAAAACCGGCTGTGCAGATCCTTCCTAGATTCCTTAGGGTGCGTAGTACACGGTACACGCATCTACATAGGTTTCATGCTGCGTTGTTTAGACACAATGACAAGAAAAATGTCATCTTGAGGGGAATCATCTTTAAAAATCATTTTGTTTATGCATCTAATTGAAATACAGGTTCTTTTCTCTTTCCTCCATGCCACTGAGTTGCCAAATATCAGAGATATTCTCACGTTGACTTCTATGATTGGCAGCTTTTACCAAGGACTTCATATAGTCATAGCATGAATTGTCACAACATTTTAAATCTAATTTTATCTTTTTAAACATGTTATGTACCCAAACCAATGTAGGTAAGTAAGTTTCTTATTAGCTTACTTCTGCCACGTTCTATTGTCTGTTAAATGTAACACCATCTCTTACTATAATTTAGAATTTTTGTTTTTTACTTATTTTTTTTCGAGACAGGGTTTCTCTGTATTGTTTTGGAGGATGTCCTAGAACTAGCTCTGTAGACCAGGCTGATCTGGAACTCACAGAGATCTGCCTGCCTCTGCCTCCCGAGTGCTGGGATTAAAAGGTATGCACCACCCATGACTGGCTATTTCTTTATTTCTATTATCTGTTTTGCCTAATTCTTTTTACTCTCTGTCAAGCTATAAAGCACCTTTTAAAACTACCTTTGACTTTAGTACACTTATGTAAATAGTCTCATCAAATAATTTAAGGATGTCTTCTAGGGCTGGAGGCTATGCTAAGAACTGTTCTAATGTAAATATAAAAAAGAAAAGGATTTGCCTCCAACAAGCTAAAAATCTCACTGAACAGATTATTTCACAAAAATCTGGGCTTTGCTTTTGACTCATGATTGTAAATAAGTCATTCTGCCTGGCGATGGTGGCACAGACCTTTAATCCCAGCACTCAGGATGCAGACGCAGGTGGATCTCTGTGAGTTTGAGGCCAGCCTAGTCTACATAGCGAGTTCCAGGATAGTCAGTGCTACATAGAAAGATCCTATCTCAATAAACCAAAAGAAGAGTAAGAGGATGAGGAAGAGGAGGAGGAATAAGAGGAGGAGGAGGAGGAGGAAGAGGAGGAAAAAGAAGAAAGAAGAATGTTCCTTCCTTCCACATGTGGCACTCTAGAGGATGTTGAAGCCTGCCATGCTCTGAAGGAGTTAGATGTAAAGTTCGTCCATAAATTTTGCAAGGAAATCATTGCTAGTAACCAATAATGGTAAAAAATTAAAGAAAGAACATATAGAAAAAGA